TTTAAATATTTCTTTGTGATAGTTACCACTGAATGAACCAGATGGTCTTAACTGAACAACCCACCTTGACACAGAAGCACACACAAGAGCCCCACTAGTGGCTTTGCATATTAACATTAGGCTTTGTCCACAGCACCTGAGGTGCGGCATCTTCTTTGCCCATATATCATCTCTGTTCTTTTCCATCAAGTATTTCTATAAGTTGTGGGAAAATGCCATGAAAGGTTTATATGCGGGAGAAAGGGTTCAAAACACACGTTCAAGTGCAAAAGGGGGATCTTCATTGCTTTCTAAGGTGGTGGGTCTGTTAACTGGCTGGACTTTTTTTTTTTTCCACAAGGGAGTATTTGAGAATTAGCCACTGGGGCAGATCTGCACTGTGGGAAAGGGAAAATGGTAACCTGTCCATGGGTGCAAAAGATGAGAAAGAAGGGCCCCTGGAGGTTGGGCAAAAGAAAATGGACCTAGGAAAATGGAGAGGTCTGAATTTGGGATTCCAAGCTGAACACTGTGGATGGGCACACCCTCTACTCTGTCCTTATACAACCTGTAGCAAAGTCCACGATTAATGTTGTGTAAGTTCATTCTATAAATGGGTTCAGGGAGAGGGCAGAGAAGAATGGATGTCCCTGGTAGTCTCATGGAACCAGTACAAATATCATGACTCCAAAATCTATAGTCTTGAAAGTCAATAGGAGTTGTGAATGGTGCCTTGCTTTTTAAAGGGAATGGTGGAGTACAGAACTCTAAATTCTTTCTGTGTAATGCTAAATAAATAAATAAATTTTAAAAAGTCTATTTTAGAGTAAAAGTAGGAAAAAATAATAATAATAGCACTCTAAATACTCGGGTTCTCAAATAAATGATCTATGTTAGACTTCAACAAGTTAGTGGGCATGGGCCCATAAGCAAATCTCTTCATCTCATTGGAATTCAGTTTTCCAGGTTTACAATAAAGGGTTTTACCTAAGCCTGCAATGATCAACCTTGAATGCATGCGGCTCACATAAGTAAACATATAATCAGAATTGTATATTAATTTATGATAACCTAATATCATCTTTGATCTAATCTAAACATGAAGTTAGAATTTAGAAAGCTGCTGCTTTGTCACAATTCCTACAAAATCCATAGAAATTAATATTTCAGTAACTAACGGGCAGTACAAAAAAAATTTTTTTTTGGATTGAGCCCAGGGCTATTCGACCACTGAGCCACATCCCCAGCTCTTTTTTGTATTTTATTTAGACACAGGGTCTCACTGAGTTGCTTAGAGCCTCACTTTTGCTGAGGCTGGCTTTGAACTTCTGATCCTCCTGCCTCGGCCTTCTGAGCTGCTGGGATTACGGGTGTGTGCCACTGCACCTGGCAATACAAAAAATTTTTGATCAGTGCTTTTCTATTTATGGTATAACAAGTAACAAATTGTTTGCATGTATATTTATTTCTGCACAGGAGACAATAAAGCTATTTCTCTTTTCATTTTGATGGATAGAAAGTTTGCATATTTTTTGGTGGGGTTAGGATTTAATGCAAAACAAAAATTTGCAACTACTGGATAGAATATTACTAAGTCTTTTGAAGATTAATGACTATGGCTCCTCAGTGGAGTTTCAGGTGGTTTGTAGATAATAAATCTCAATTAGCCTATAGTAATTCTGTATTATAGCTAGAAATCAGGGACTCCTGACCAAGTCCCTTGGTACAATTGTGCTTCCTACATTGTGTGAACTGTAAAATAATGGCAAAATAAATGAATCAGCAATTTCCCTGACATGGGTTGATTACTATTCAGAGTAACAGGAAGAGGGGAATGGGGGCAGCTGGCAAAGACTTCCTTTTTCGTTCTAACTCCATTTTTTAAGATGGTCTCTTGCTCTGCGAACTTTATAGATTCTAAACCTCATGTATAATTAAATCTAAAAAAAAAAACCAAACCAGAGTGAAAATCAACATGTTGTCACCCTAGGAAATATAACTAATAAGAATGCATTTCTCATTGTCCTCCCTGTGTCCATGCCTTCCCATCCCCATGATACTTTACCCAAAGCCCAGCTCTGATTAAATTACTCTCCTGCTCAGAAATCTTCAAAGTTTACCCAACATCTGCAAGAGCCAACCCAAGAGCTTGGGCATGGCCTTTGATGCCTCCTCCTGCCTTCATGGAAGGAATGATCTCATTAAACGTCATTGCTCCTTGATGTCCACCTTTTCTGCATTTCATTCGTCTCTTCCAACTGGATGTTTCTCTCTGCCCCCAGTGTCCCCAGAGAGTCAGTAAAGATCCCTCCTTTTCTGGAAAGTTTCCTGGAGAGCAATAATCGCATGCACTCCTGGGATATTTTGCGTCTCTTATTCTGTCTTTTAATAGATTTAATTACTAGGATCTTATTACCCTTCCAAGACTATAAGCTTCCTAAAGCTTGGAAGCAGGACTTAGTCATCTGACTCCCAAACCCACTTTCTTCCTGCTGCTTCAAACTGCTTTGTTCCTCTGGAGAAGCAGCTAATCCCTCGATGGTGGGGCGCCTCCTTCAGATGGGATTGGTGCTGCCACTGCTTTGACACTTAGGTAGCCTTGTGTCCCCTGTCACTCAGTAAAGAAGAACTCTGAGTCACCATGACAAGACCCCTCCCTACACACACACACACACACACACACACACACACACCTAGCAGCCCTTCCTCTTTGGCCAAGCAAATGCATTTACAGCCCAGGAAGAAATGGACGGGATACCCTTCTTGCTGGCATCTGTACTAGTTTCTTGGAGCTGCTGTAACAAAGGACCACAAACTGAGTAATTCAAAACAATGAAAAAAGGCCAAGATTCAAAAATCAAGATGTCACCCTGCTCTCTTCTACATGGCTTCCTCTGAGGCTGCCGGTCCCCCTCAGCACCTCCTGAATGGAAAGAGCACCCCTCCAGCCCCATCCTCCCCTGGTGCTCTTCCTGTGACTCCTTTCTCTGTTCTCTCTTTTATAAGGACTCCAGTCATATTGGATTAAGGCCAATCTCAACCCAGTATGACCTCATTTTAACTTGAGTACCTCTGCAAAAGTCTCTGTTTCAAAATAAGTTTGCATTTGTAGATACCAGACACGTGGACCTCAGCATATCTTCATCAGGGACACAATTCAACTCAACCTAACCTTCCCATACCCTCAGTGATCACAGAGCTAGCTACATGGTTCTGCAGACTGTCTCAGTTGAAGCCTCCCTGCCACCCTACAGAAGAACACAATACCTCAAAACCCAATTAGAATACGTAGGTCAAAATACACTTTACTATCATATAAAAGAACAAAGAACAAAGTAATAAAATAAATAATTTTACAAATCTATAATTTTTAAAAATCATTACTGTTAGTTATGGTAGTATATATATGTATTTATATATAAATCATAGGATTCACCAGGGTAACTATCTTTAAGTATACAGCTCAATGGCATTAAGTTCACACTAAGATTCACATTGTTGTGCAATCACTACCATCCACCTTCACCTCTTCATCTTGCAAAATTGAAACTTCAACATACATGTATGTTGGTTAGAAGTGAAAACAGTAGGATTGGTGATAAAGTCTTCACTCTGGATAAGTGTGATAAGCTAGTCTGGTGCAATTGAGAAGAGCTATATATTGCTTGCCCCAGAATGTGACCCAATTCCCTCATTTGACTGATGAAATTGTTGCCTAAGCAAAAGTGACGGGGCCCCCCCTTGGGGAGGTTTGCAAAGAATCCTCATGGGAAGATGTTCCTGGCCCATTTAAAAGTGCATTCAAATCAGTGCTGCAAACTTTCGTCCCTAGCTGTTACCTGCACCTGACATTGCTGTAAGTAATGAGATGCAGAAATAAATCCGCCCAGCCCCAGCACTCAAGAGCTCAAGTCTATGTTAGATGTAAGGATTTAATACCAGGAAATGTCTCTGAAAATACATCTTTATTTCTTGAAAATAGAAATACATTTGTGTGAATACACCACCAGTGAAACTCCATAAGAATGAGATCCTAATTAGAATAAGTTGTACTCCATGTATGTATAATATGTCACTCTATCGTCATGTAGTCTAAAAAGAATGAATTTTAAAAAAATAAATAAAAACACTGTTTTTCTATCCTTATACATTTTTTAACAGCAGATTGTTATAACCTGCAGTTGGTCAATATCGTCCTCGTCTTCATTCCTCCATTTAGTTAGTCCCCGATTGCTGGCATTGAACATTCTAGATATTTTTCAATGGCTTTGCAAGGAAGGATGAGATGCTTGTGGGCATTGAGGAGATACTCAATACAGGTCTGTAGAGCTCAGGAGAGCTCTATGTTGCAGAGAGAGCTGAGAACAATCGGAGTGGAAGGGGTCAGAGGAGATCGGCTCTCTATTGTTCCTCAAGGGGGTCACATCTGGTGCTTCTGCATCACCTTCCAGTTTTCCCCGAGCTGAAGAAGTAGCTGTGCTTCTTCATGAAAGCATATTGCCCAGAAAGAAGTGGTACACGCTTTTCCAGGAAGCTCTTGAATAGCTGGAGTCTCCTCCTTCTCTACCGTTCTTAAATGCTGTCTGAGATCTTCTTCTATGGTTCTTTCTATTGTTTCCTGGGATCATCTCATAACACGATGACTCAAATTATATTTACCAAACAAACTTCATTATTTCAACCTTAAAATCATATATCCAACGGTCTGCTACACATTTCCACATAGATGTTTTTCTGGAATTTTCTTTAAGTATGTCCAATAGTTAGCTCTCTTTCACTTACAACTCTTTTCTTCATTGCATGTTTGCACTCTCCTCACCTCCTTCTCTCTCTCTGTCTCTTTCTCTCTCTCTCTCTCCCTAAAACGATACACTAATGTCCACCCATTTTTTTCTCTCCATCACTGACAAGGCAATGGGAGCAACATAGATCATGACTGCAAGATTTTCAATGCTTTTGGAATTTGATTGCCTGAACTTGGAGATGGGTAAGGACCTATTAAAGATTAACAGCCTTCCGGGGCGAAGGTCACCATGGCGGCGGCCTTGGCTCGGCTCGGGCTGCGATCCGTCAAGCAGGTTCGGGTTCAGTTTTGCCCCTTCGAGAAAAACGTGGAGTCGACGAGGACCTTTCTCCAAGCGGTGAGCAGCGAGAAGGTCCGCGCCACCAATCTCAACTGCACGGTTATTGCAGACGTGAGGCATGACGGCTCCGAGCCCTGCGTGGACGTGCTGTTCGGAGACCGGCATCGCCTGATAATGCGTGGCGCTCAACTCCCCGCTCAGGAAACGTTCATCGCTTTCGCTTCCCACGTTCGGGCCAGGAACCCAGCGGGGAGCCGGAACAAACCTGGCGCTGGTACTGAACGGTGACATCGCGAAAGAAACCAACAAGCAGATTTTGACTTGGGACAAGGACACTTAAGCGCGACTTCATCATTCAAATCACTATCTGGAGGGCCACGGAGCAGGGTGGGATGGGAGAGCTTTGCCACTACAATGGTTGGGGGGGCAAGAGAAGATAGGGGTGAGAAGAGGTTTAAATGAACTTGAATTTTTTTCTTTCTTACCCTCACTCACAGCTTAACCCTTTTTAATATGGCTTCTTACATCACTCAAAATACCGTTTGTTCTTGTTTACCAAACGTGCTATTTCCTCAATCCTCAGCTCTCTATCTCATTAGCTTTTGTCACTCTTAATTCACCTTCTCGTGGTACCCCTGCCCCTCTTGGATTTTTCTTGCTTCTTAAACATAAAGGCATACTGCCCTCATCTTTTTTTTCTTCTTTGTGTTCTTCCTAGGGCAACCCATCCCCTGTCATAACTTGAACTATCCTCTCTGGAGTAAAACCCTACATTTCTGTTTCGTTCAAATCCCAATTACTGCACTTTATTCAGGTTACTTACTACCAGCTTCTTCCAATTGCCATCAACATTCTTTGTCTAAAACAGTATTAATTCCAGGAGGTGGTACAGACCTGTAACCCCAGTGATTCTGGAGGCTGAGGCAGGAGGATCACAAGTTCTAGGCCAGCCTCAGCAATTTAGTGAGACCCTTCTCAAAAAAAAAAAAAATACTAAGGACTAGGATGCAGCTTAATGGTAGAGTGCCCCTGGGTTCAATCTCTAGTACCAGAAATAAATAATTAAAAAGCTCTTGATGGTTGGGGTTGTGGCTCAGTGGTAGAGGGCTAGCCTAGCATGTGTGAGGCACTGGGTTCAATCCTCAGTACCACATACAAATAAAAGTCATTGTGTCCATATACAACTAAAAAATATTTTTTAAAAAAGCTCTTGAGGGGCTGGGGTTGTGGCTCAGTGGTAGAACACTCGCCTAGCATATGTGAAATAAATAAAACAAAGGTATTGTGTCCAGCTACAACTAAAAAATATTAAAGAAAAAAGGTCTTGTATCACTATTGCATTCTCCTGCCTGGTCTATATTAATCACTTTTGTGGCTAATTTGATTCTCACAAAGCACATGACTGCTTAGTGCTCACCACTACCTTCCGTAAAGAGTACCTGAAGTAGTTTTTCATACTGGATTAACCCCCATTAGTGTGCATAATGAAATCAATTTAGGGAATTACATCAGTCTTTTTTTTTAAAGTGGAATAAAATTTTTAAATGTAAAAAAAAATAAAAAATAAATAAAGATTAACAGCATGATCTCCAACTCCCATGACCCATTGTTGTGTGATAAGACCTTCTTAGGGAGAAGCCATGTCTATGACTTTGGGACAGACTTCAGAAATTACATCCATGTTAAGAGTCTACTACACAGTGCTTGTCAACTGGGGAATGGACTACTAGTGGGAAGAAGCCTTGGGCCACCTGAGCTTAAGGGGTGAATCAAAGAGGAAAATGGAGAGCTCTAACATCTCTGTCAAGGGTAAATTTGTACTGGGTAGGGAGGAACCATAGTGAGCATTTTAGCAACTAGTACTGCCTACCACAGGAAGCACTATCTTCACCTGCAGAAGGACATAAAGTTATCCCAAGAACTTGATTTTTTTTTTCTTAACTGGAGATGGGTAAGGACCATCTTAAAAAACAAGGTAGATTTCAAAAAGTAGATTTCACGAGGAAAGGAGTCTTACGGGTTGTGTTCATTGCTCCATCCTTAATGCCTGGAACAAGAAGGCACTCAAAGATTATTTGCTGCCTTAAAGAATGGACGAGGAGGCACTCCAGGCAGGTGGGGCACGCCTGTCATCCCAGAGGCTCAGGAGGTTGAGACAGGAGGATCGCAAGTTCAAAGCCAGCCTCAGCAAAAGCGAGGTGCTAAGCAACTCAGTGAGACCCTGTCTCTAAATAAAATACAAAATAGGGCTGGGGATGTGGCTCAGTGGTCGAGTGCCCCTGAGTTCAATCCCTGGTACAAAGGAAAAAAAAAATAAGGAAAAAAAAATTGGAAGAGGAAGCAAGAAAGGAGTGCAAGGCTGGGCTGGGTAAGATTCTGTGAGTGATTAGCACTGTCTGCCAGGAGTGCAGACCAGCACAGGGTGGCCGGTGGCGTAAGGACAGCAGTATGTGGATAAAGATTTAATAACTAGCCCCCGGGATTGGGGGCAGTGGGGAGGTGCCATCCTATTTGTAGCATTTATTAATTTGTGTGATGTAAACATTTCCACCACAGCTGATTTCAAGAAACCAACAAGTTGTAAACTGGCTCATAAAATTCCTGAGCATCTAATAATCAGCTCTCTGTGTCGGTATGAGCCAGTTCCAGTGCACTGCTGGGAGGGATGACAGGTATCTACTGCTGCCCCTGACATTGCCCTCCACTTTCTGTTTCCCTATTACTTTTTCTTTCACAGAAAAAGGAGGGGGAAAATGGATCAGGATTACACAGCAGCCTGCAGCAGGCCAGCTCCTCATTCAAAGGCTGTTTATTATTTGTTTGTTTTTTGTAAAGACCTTCAGATGCTGTCAAAAGAGAAGCTACCAAGAGGCACCCAACGCATTTCTGCCTCGAAAAAAAATTTATTAAAAGCTGCGAGTCTGTGCAATGAAGGCTTCTGGGGCACCCTGAGCAGGTGGACCGAGTTCTTGCTGGGAGCTTGACCAGCTGCAGGACTTTCCAAGGTTCCAACACTGGACTTTTGCTTCGAGAGTCCTCTGCTGTAAATGGTCAGGGTCCTCCTGAACTTCAGGTGCTTCTTCCCGCCACGTGGACCTGAACAAACAGCTCAGGAGCTGGGTGACCGTCCATTCAAATTTTATGTCTTAAGGAGTTAAATGTAGGGGATGCCTGAAAATTTGTTTTTTGTTATTTTAAACTGAATTTGATAATTTAAATGAATACCTACAGAACGCATGCACACACACCCCCTCCTGTTCTAATACTTTTAACATACTGTATTCCTGCCCCAGAGATGTTCCTGCAGTAGTTGACCCCTTTGAAGGCTGGGAAATTTTCTTATTTATCTTTGTTTCTTTTCCAGTTTGAACTCTCAAAACCTCTCAAATGTCTCACATAGCCTGACTTGCTACTCTGAGAAACATGGAACCCTCCAAGCACGCAGAAGGGAACAAGAGACAGAAGGTCTGAGTGGAGCCCCAGCTGGCTCACAGAGGGCTTGCAACTCAGGAGAACCATTTCCTTAGCGGAAGTCTCAGTCTTCTCATCTGTAAAATAAGACAAGTTGGACACAGAATCACTAAGGACTCTCTCTCTCTCTCTTCTGTCTCTAAAAATTTCTGACTATCCAACAGTTTCAGATTGCTTTATGACAGCCTGGGTATATATACTCTAATTCTGTATATACTTAGATCTTTTAGATAGAGTAGCTAAAAATTGAGTCAATATGATTTTTGTTTCCTTTTGTGTTGAGACATAAGGCCATTAACTATTCTTTTTCTTAAACTTTTTCCTAAAAGCAAAACAAGTGAGATATTTCAGAATGCAGCCCCATTCATACTTTTAAAAACTGAATAATTACATCTGTGTAATCTGTCTTTGAAACCTGGTAGAATGGTAGTGACTTTGGCTCTCCTTCCTTGCTGTGCAACACGAAGCAAACTACCTCACCTCTCTGAGCTTTGCATTCCTATTTATGAAGAGAGACTGTTAATATTTTTGGAGTTATGTGAGGTGTAGATAAAGAACAATACTGAAATGCCCAGCATCTAGTAGGCAGATCACAAAATTTCATTTCTTGTCTACCTCCCTTTCTTCCTCCACATTCAATTTAAGAATTTATACGTAAGCAAAAAAGAGATCACTGAAATATTTTTGAGGAAATTACATCTAACATTTGGGTTGGACTTACATAAGATAAAAAGTTAACAGAAATTCCTTCAATATGGCATACAAGTTTGCAAGACTGCCAAGCCATATTCTCTTGAATGCTGAAACTGATTTGTTAACAAATTTGTCAACAGTCGGCACTTCCACCCAGAGAGGCTCTTCTGTGAAATGGAAAGGTTTGAGCTAGGGAAGGAGGGAAGGGAGGAAGGAATGAAAGCAAGTGGATAGTGACTGCGGATGGCTGCAGCTGTCCTCTTTGAGCAGAGTCGATGTGTGGGAAACAGTAGAGCTAAGCAGCCCCTCTTACTTGAGCAGAATCTGGTCTCTTGTACAATTTGCTTCAAATCAGTAGCTAGAGATTCCATTTAGAATCAGAAGGGTGTTTTTTTTTATTCTTTCTGAGATTCTGTTGCATGGAATTTTAAAATTATTATGTAATTCGCTATTATAAATTATAGAAAGAGGAGATGATTGAAAGGAAAAACGACAACAAAATGTTATATTTGCCTAAAATATTATATTTGCTTAATATGTTATATTTGCTTATACTTTTCACTGTGTATTTATGTAGCATCACATTTATATCAATAGGACACAATCGAGACAAGAATTAATAACTTGCCTTTCTTCATTTAATAATTTTTTAAATTAATTAATTGATTTTATTTGTTCTAATTAATTATGCACAGCAGTAGAATGCATTTTGACATATCCTACATAAATGGAGTATAACTTTTTATTTTTCTGGTTGTACATGATGTAGAGTTATTCTTCGTTTAATTATGAACAAGTATTCCCAGGTGAATAGATATCAACACCATCAAAAAGTTTTGGTTACTTAGCATTATGTTGTATGGGTCCATATATATTTATTTATTAATCCAACCCCCATCATTGGTCATTTTTTTAGAACTGTACAAACCTACAGACCTTGAAAGCAGAAAGAAAGAGATAACAATGAAATCAACTCTGGAACTCCGTCCTTCTAAGCCATGGTACTCCTCCTAATTGTAATGTAAATGAGAGAATGGCTAAGGAGATTTCTGCTGCTGCCAAAAATTCTGCAAAATACCTCTAATTTTGTTGATTGTACTCTTTCCCCAATTTGATGCCATTGACCAAAGGTTGGCCAAATCCAATCCACCATCTGCTCTTGTACAATCTGGGAGCAAGAATGACTGTTACATTTTTAAGTGGTTGAAAAAAATCAGAAGAATAGTATTTCCTGACATGTCAATTATATGAAATTCAGATTTCAGTGTTCATAAATAATAAAGTTTTATTAGAACACAACCATGCTCATTCATTTACATATTGCCTATGACTGATTTGGTGCCCAATGGGAGGGTTGAGTAGTTGTGCAAATACTATATGGCACATAGTGGCTAAGATTTTTATCTGGATTTTTTTTTGTTTTTTGGTACTGGGGATTGAACTCAGGGGCACTCAACTACTGAGCCACATCCCCAGCACTATTTTGTATTTTATTTAGAGACAGGGTCTCCCTGAGTTGTTTAGCATCTCACTTTTGCTGAGGCTGGCTTTGAACTTGTGATCTTCCTCCCTCAGCCTCCTGAGCTTCTGGGATTACAGGCGTGGGCCATCGTGCCAGACTGGATGTTTTAATATAAAAAAATTGTCCAAATTCTACCAGGGATTATTGATCAGGGACTATTTTGACTCTTTTCTAGTCAAAATTAATATTTCTTGTGTTTACAGTTTTTATTTACCTCGTTGTTGATCCTGGAGACTAATAATAATTTTTAGGCTTGAGTCAATGTTGTTTCATTGTTAACAAAATAAATATCTATCACTGATGACCCTGTGTGACTTATTTTCCTCTCTGAGCTAAGTTTCCTAATCTGTAAAATAGGTAGGTTGTGCTAGATCTCCAAAGCACTTCATTAGTCTGTAAGGCAAATACATCCTTAGTGCCCACTCCATGCCAGGCTCATGGCTTACTCTGGAATGGACTGACAATGTTTAAAACTGGGGACAATATTGTGTATTTCACTGAAATGTAGAACACTTCTGAAAAGAAAAGAAAACGTTAATGTTTATTGGTAAAAACTCACAAGAGTCCCCAGAAACAAGTGCAGGACAATGACTTCCCCCTCAAATTAAACTCAGAATCTTAGGGCTTTGCAGATTCCATAACTTCTCCT